CAGGGACCTTAGGCCGCCAGGGACCTTGGACCGTCACTTCGCCATCACCTGCGGTGTCGCGGTGCAGTCCGTTCGCCTGTCTGTCTGTCTGTCTGTCTGTCTGTCTGTCTGTCTGTCTGTTTTCCGATGAGAATCAATAACACCCAAGAATTGGAGAATCCTCGTGAAAGATTGTCGACTGCGCGCTGCGCTGCGCGTTCCAAACATGCCAGCCGTGTATCGATAGTATCGAAGTCGGCAGTCGAGATCTCGGATGCCATCGCGCCGATACCTCGTTTGCACGTGCTTTGCAGTGTGCTTTGCAGTGTGCTTTGCAGTGTGCTTTGCACCTGCCCGGCGAGTCGTCGCTCTGTCTCTGTCGCACTCATGGGTTCTCCACACGGGTGCGAGAGAGACAGAGCTCGACCGTCCAGCGATTTAGCCGGCGGCCTGTGCGGCCTTTCGACACCCGGCACGCCGGCCAAGGCACGGCCGGGGCGCGCTGTCTCTCTCGAACCCCTACGGGACGGCCCGCGAGTGCGAGCGAGAGAGACAGGCCGCTCGGCGGGGGGCGCGGGACACGGCCTACAGTGTACCAATTAGGAGAGTCACTGCCTGTCGATGTGTCGATCGCATGTCAAGGACTCCATACGGTGTCGGCGCGAGTCCTGCGAACCCGTTCCACGACGCGGTGAATTTCGGGGCTAGACGCACAGTGGGCCAGAAGACTCCAGACGCGTTTTGAGCTTCAGAGTCGCTAAACGGGACTCGAACCGACCGTGTGACCCCATCAATGGATTCCTCGTTCGGAGAGCACTCCATTGGTGGGGTCACACGTTCGGTTCGAGTCCCATTTAGCGACTCTGGAGCTCAAAACGCGTTTAGGGCTTTGTCCGCCGGCGCCGGTCTTCTGGCCCACTGTGCGACGGCGCTTACAAAAAGGTCGGCGATCCAATGCGGCAGCGCTGGGCCGCGGGGCGCCGCGGGGCTGCGGGGGCCCAGTGGCCGTGCGGTAACACCCAGTAGGAAGGCATCACCCGACCCGCGACGCGACGCGACCCGACGCTGCGACCCGACCCCAGGAAGAGGAGAGGACACCGCCAGACACGGCGGTGCCTGCATTGCTTGGATTGCCCAAGCCAAACCATTAAACGAAACCAATGTCCAGGCGGGAAAAGCAACTGGCGGAAATAAAAAGAATGTCAGGTGTGGGGTTCGAACCCACGACCCCATGAGGGGATCAGAGCTTAAATCTGACGCCTTAGACCACTCGGCCAACCTGACTGGCTGCCGAGTGGAGCGGCCGGGACGCGAAATGAATGAAGACTGTCGGTAGGCAAGGCCACTCGGTTCCCTGCCCCCGCCGTTCTGGAGAGCCGGGCGTGGTCCCCCCCCCTTCCCCCTAGCACTGCCCCCCTCCCCCTTCTGGACACCGGTCGCTCCGCCATGGCTGATCCTAATTGTTTTTCGTACAGTGCTAGGCGCCTGCGTGAAAAATAAAATATTTTCACTGTGTCCAGTCAAGTAGTGTGGTGATGATATTACGTCCGGGGAGAGTTTTTAACTTAATGTTGCTTTTTTCTTAGCATCTTTTTACGCGCGAATGTGGTTGCAGACCAGGGAGCGCAGACTAGCCATGCTAATTGCTGCCCGTGCCCTCCCAGCCCGGCCCGGCCCAGCCCGAGCTAGCGGAAGCGTTTGTTGTGACAAGCAAGTTTCCGTTGCGTGGACGAACTCGTTCTGGTGGCTTGCCCGGTGTCCCAACCCAACCCTTGGCGCCGGCCCACAGTGGGCCAGAAGACCGGTGGAGGGACAGCGAAGACCGCGAGAGAGACAGCGCGGCGAAAACGACTTTCAGGGCGGAGCCAGGGCACGTATGTGTCTCCAAGTACGCCGTCCCCAAAGTGTCGTAATCATGTTAATGAGGCCCGCGACAACACTGCAAGGAGGAACAATTGGACACGCGCTCAAAATCGGTCACAAGGGCGTTACACTGCCAAAATTAAACTTTTTTTTGTAAATAGTCGGAAGACGCGGCACTGCTAAACGGTTCGGCGATCGTCAATTGTTTACGACTCTTCTTTTCGACAGTGTAACGTGTTGTACAACAACAGGTGCATCGGCCGGCTCGGCATTCTTTCGCAACAGTGCAGTGTCCTCACTTCATTTTGCGGCCATTTCGCCTCATTGCGCGCCGCGGCTCGTTTTCTGCGGTGGAGTGCAGTGAGATGGCCGCGCCCCGCTCCCATCCACACGGTGGCCGAGCGGTCTAAGGGGTTGAATTCGAATCCGGTGACCGTGGGTTCAAACACCACTGAATTATCAACTTTTTTTCCCTTTGCAATTGGGAATTGGTGCTGAAAGTGAAATGGCCGAGCGGTCTAAGGCGTTGAATTCGAATCCGGTGACCGTGGGTTCGAACACCACTAAATTACCAATTTTTTTCTTTCGCAAAGTTGAAAATGGCGTTGAAAGCGAAATGGCCGCGAGTCAACAAACAAAACAAACGACAAACAGACGCGTATTGGAACGATGGCATCACTCCATTGTTTCTGGACACTCATTTGAATCGCGCGCCATGACGACGCGATTGTTGTCGCTCGCTTTCATCGGCCCCCCTCCCTTTCCCGCCTTCACCGAGTCTGTCTCTCTCGCACCCATGCGGGGCGCCTCGTGGTCGCGAGAGAGACGGAGTCTCCAGAAAATGGAGAGTCTGCCCGACTCGGGACGGCGATGGCGATCACCTGGAGTCGGGGCAGTGACGCTTTTTTTTCCCCCGAACCTCTGGAACACTGCGGGGTGACGGCGGCGGAGGCTTTTGGCGATGTCGCTCCTTCCTGTAGACTGATTCCGAGAGTCGCACTGACTTTTGGAACGGGGACGCTGAGTAGCCGCTGGAAACGCCGTGGAGGTAGGCAACCCACCCTCCTCCAGCGCGCGGGTGCTCACCGGGGTGCCTACCCCGCCAGGCTGACTGCCACCCCACCAACGGACCCCTCTCCGAACGAGCAGTCCATTGGTGGGGTCACACGTTCGCTTCGAGTCCCGCTTAGCGACTCTGGAGCTCAAAACGCGTCTGGAGTTTTGGCCGCCTCCGCCGGTCTTCCGGCAAATCCACCGCGCGGCCCCGGAGGGGTTCCTTGGCGGGTGGCGTGCCTCGGCGCTCTTTTCGCCGCCAAACGTGTCGTTTCCGGGCGCGACCGGAAGTGAGGGATTTGCCTTCCGAAAAGGCGGTATCGCCGCCACTCCAACAACAACAACAACATGGCGGCAGCACGATCAAGAGAACAACAACAACAACAACAGGGGCGTGGCGTGGCCAGGCGCGGCGTGCACGTGCGTGCGAGTGGGCGTGGGCACGCTCGGCCCGAGGCTCGGCCACGGCGTGTCACGTGGAGCTTTCTCCGCGGTACAGTGGCGGAGCGCGAAGCGCGAAGTGCGCGAAGGGTCAGCCTGGATTAGTGGCCGAACGGACCAGAATGGATCAGAATGGACCAGAATAGGTCAGAATGGGTCAGAATGAGTTTGCATCGATGCTGGCATGCCTCAGCATAGTGCATCGCTCCATGGTTAGACCAGTTTGACTGAATTAAATCATTTTTTTCCTTAAAAAAAAGTTTTGAGCCGACGGTGTCACGAAAAAAAAAGATCAATTTCGTGCATACAGACAGCTGCTGAGACACATGCTAGCACACAAGCAGACAAACATTTGCAAACACGCGGGCGAACACACACACACGCACACACACGTTGACGCCGAATGAAGAGTGTTGACTTACGCGCGCGCGTGTGTTTGTGTTTGGATACGCGGGGGGGATTGTCTCCCTCCACGACTTACAACTCTGTGTGTGTGTGTGTGAGTGTGTGTGTGAGTGTGTGTGTGAGTGTGTGTGTGAGCACAGGTGTGAGTGAGTGTGCGATTGCGCGTGTGAACTGCACGCGCCGTGTTCGCGCGGAAACTGTATCTTGAAATTTTGCAGCGCCGTTGCATGCCGCATTGCTGAGATGCTATCGGCTCGACACTTTGCCCCCCCCCCTTCTCCTGGGCCGCGGCCCGCGCGGTCCGTGCATAGTCCGCGCGCCGCCTCGGCCGCCATCTCACGGGAAAGGCGCCGCACCAGACGCCCCACACTAGTGCTCTGCACGTGTCTCGGAGTGCGGCGATATTTCCCACTTTGTAAGGCTTTTCGATCACTTGGATAGCTCTCTCTCTTTCTCTCTAAAAAAAAAAAAAAAACACACGCACACACATTTTGCATCCTAGCCAGCCCGGCCAGCCCGCCGCCGGCCAGCGGTTGCATATTATCGGCCCCGCTATAGAAGTCATCAGAAGGACGCGTCCGCCCAGCTACACCTTGTGAAACCACGTGTGTGGTGTGTGTGTGCGTGTGTGGTGTGTGTGTGTGTGTGTGTGTGTGCAGATGCGAATGAATAGAGCGAAAGAATGGCGAGTGGGCGTGAGGGGGCTTCGCCGTCGCTTCGTCACCTGCAAGGCCTGCAAGGCTGATTCCGAAGAGTGTCGTCGCTCTGTCTCTGTCGCACTCGCAGGGCAAGCGAGGAGTGCGCGTGAGACGGAGCGAATGACTCGGACGGCGTCGCGGCAGGTGGCCGAGGGTGCAATGGCTGCGGCACACTGGTTGGGACACGTCGCGTGCATTTCTTGTCTTCTTCTTCTTCGACAACGCAACGCTGGTGATGGATGCGCAGTCGGAAGCAGCCTCGCGGCACTGCGAGAAAAAGATCCTCGACAAAATCCATTTCCCCCCCGCGCGGGCGGTCGGCGCCAGAAGACCGGTGGAGGCGGACAAAACTCTGGACGCGTTTTGAGCTCCAGAGTCGCTAAACAGGCCTCGAAACGAACGTGTGACCCCACCAATGGACTCCTCGTTCGGAGAGCAATCCATTGGTGGGGTCACACGTGCGGTTCGAGTCCCATATAGCGACTCTGGAGCTCAAAATGCGCCCACTGTGCGCTGCGTTGTCGGGATGCTTGCTGACGCCTTGTCTCTGCTTGTCCACAGGTGGCAGTCCGGATGTGACGGCTTCCCGCCCCCGCCCCTCCGCCATGGCGCGGTGCTCGGGGAGCTCGGGGAGCTCGGGGAGGTCGCGGTGCGGGGCCTGGCTGGCCGGCGCGCTGGCCGCCGCCGTGTGCCTCACCGCCGTCTCCGCGCACGTCGCCCTCACCTACCCGCCCGCCCGCAAGTACGACCTGGACTTCCTGGACAACTCCAGGACGCGCGGCCCCTGCGGCATGCCCAAAGGTGAGTGCCACCACACTGCAGGGTGGATTGACGGCCGACCGACAGGGTTTTTCAAACTGCTGGCCGACTTTAAGCAGCCACAGCGTCTGATCCCAGGCGGTATTTCGTCCTCCCTCAACGGGCAATTGGTCTTTGGACCTTCCTTTAGCATGCCTTTGTTGCGGAGTGCGATTATCTGCCTTAGTTTGGGAGCAGTAGTGCCGCAAAGTTGATCAAAACAGTCACAAATGTCTTTGCTCGACTCTGGAGGTCAAAACACGTCCGGGATTCTGACCGCCTCCACCGGTCTTCTGGCCCACTGTGCGCCTGCGAGATGAATATTGCGTCCATTGGAAATATGGCGGACTTCCTCTCCCTCGCATCTGTGCCGTGTGTGCGTGTGTGTGTGTGTGTGGGGGGGGCAAGGTCGTTTCCCACGGCCAGGTCCCAGCGCTGCGGTCGGGTTGGCCCGCCGCCCTCCGCCGCCCCCGCTTAGGCAACTCGAACTCGACGACGCCAGCCCCCCCCCCCGGGTCGCCTAGTATCCCTGGCAGGCGTCCGGCCCAATCCCCGTCTCGGAGACCCCTACCGACTAGAATGCACGGCCCTGTGCGAGTGTGTGAGTGTTTTCTGCGCGGTGTGTGTGTGAGTGGCTTTCACTCTGTAGTCCACTTTTGCTTTCATCGGGGCGGCACGGCGGCCGCTGTAGCATTGTTTGGCCGAGGTGCAATGAGAAGTATAATCGCGCGCAAAGTCTTTGTGTGTGTGTGTGTGTGTGTGTGTGTGTGTGTGTGATGTGACTAGTGTGTGTGCATGGCCGCCGCCCCCTTTACCGTGCTCTAGCAGCCAGCGCTTGGTTGGCGAGCGTTGCCTCGTGTTCGAGAGAAGGGCACCCAGTTTACGCACGGTCCCTGTCCCCCGTTGGAGCTGGAACGCTAAATGGGACTCAAACCGGACGTGTGACCCCACCAATGGACTGCTCTCCGAACGAGGAATCCATTGGTGGGGTCACACGTTCGCTTCGAGTGCCATTCAGCGACTCTGGAGCTCAAAACGCGTCTGGAGTTTTCTCCGCGTCCACCGGTCCTCTGGCGAATCCACTGTGAAGCACGGGCGAACGCGGGCGCACGGACGGAGAGCCACGCTGGGCCCGCTCCCATTCAAAGTGTTGATTGCAGGCCTGCAAGGGGGATCCGCTCCTCGGAATGAGGGACGCCTCCTGTGTTTTTGCGAGCGTGTTTCTGTCGGCCGGACGGGCGAGGCAAGTCGGAGGCAATGCGCTCTCCGCCGCGCTCTCGTCGCTCTCCGGCGCTCAAGTCTCCACTGCTCGCCGCGCAAACAGCCAGCCTGCTGTCGGATCGTAAAAAAAGAGGAGGAAACCTAGCGGCGCAGCAAGACTAGATTTCGGCCAGCACCGACTCAATAGTAATTCGGCGGCGAAAGTACCCTGGCAACTCCGCAACAGTGTACCCCGCGAGACTATCGTGCGAGTAGTCGACAAATAAGAGTGCACATGCAGTGTACACACCATGCTTCTTTGGCCGCCATTCGGCGTGTCATGTCCGTTGTGTGCGTACTCTACACTGTCGAGTTTCTGGAGCGGTGACGTTGGCAGGGTAGCTGCTTTTATGTGGACCCGATATCGGACCGCCATCGAACGGGCGTCAGGCTCCGTGCTTGGCAGGCGGCAGAGGTGAAGGAACTGCACAGCCTTCCCCTTCTCTCTCTCTCTCTCTCTCTCTCTCTCTCTCTCTCTCTCTCTCTCTCTCTCTCTCTCTCGGTCCAGTGCGTTGTGTTGGTGGCCGATGGCTTCCATTGTTGACCGCTGCCACATCACTTTCACTCGTCGGGCTTCCCTTTCGGCTCACTTTATGCACAGCGCGCCATTTTTAATTTTTCTTTGAACAGATTCGTGATTTTATTTCGGTGGGGATCTTTCTCGACAGCCCCGGGAAGTGCTTTTATTTGCACTGTCGTGAAACGGTTCGTGAAAAGTAACAGATTCGGTTCGCTTTATCCAATTACACTGTAACATGAACGGGAGGCATGCCCACTTCTTATCATCATTAATGAGCAAGTGTTTACGGCAATTACACAGAAGCGCCTCGGCCTCTGTGTGTGTGTGTGTGTGTGTGTGTGTGTGAGCGCGTGTGCCTGTCCGTAAGCAAGCGGGGCGGAGGCGCGGTCAGATGCGGTCAGATTACCAATAGCAGCTTCGCGCCGCGCGGGTAGGACCGCCCACCTTTAGGACCGAGTTACACAAGTCGCTCTCGTGTGTGTGTGTGTGTGTGTGTGTGTGTGTGTGTGTGTGTGTGTTCCAACCTACACGGTTCGGCCCAAGGTTCAATGCGATGGCGCCTCGTGGCTCCCGTTTCTCGGCCTGTGATGAATGCACAAATGCCACACGCACACTCACACACACATGGGCGCACGCGTTTTGGCACGACGGTGCTTCTCTCGCCAAAGTGTTGCGCAAGGCGATGAGAATCTCACCCAATTTGTCCGAAACGAAACAAAAAAAAGGGTTAAAACAACAACTGGTACTGGTCGGGCAGTGGCGGGCTCGTCGGTGGGAATGCTGTTCTGGGCGGCCCGCTTCCCACACGCAGCCTCCGTTTACACTGCGGCTGTGCTAACAGGGCTGACCGGGCCGTGACTCAATTTCACCGCGGTTCCATTACGGGAGCGCCGAATATTCATTTTCATCTCCAGTTTCGGAGTCGGCGCAAGAGAACGATCCGCCATTTTGTGGAGTCGAACGGGCGTACGGGACTGGCCGAAGACGCGCGCCGCACTTGCTTCCCGACAGAATGGCCAGGCCGTCCTATTAGGCCGTCTTCGGATCCGCCATCCCATCCGACGCGGGTAGAAAGTCGCTTTGACACTGGTTCATCTAGTCCGCTAGGCCGGGCCGGGCTGGGCCGGGCTGGGCCGCAGCCTCAGGCCCGCAGCCCCAGGGCGTCCGGGTGGCCTTCACCGCGCCGTCGCCGCCCCTCTGCCAATGCTGCCAACTGTGCGAATGTGAGGCCGTCCCACCACGGTCCACCGGCCCCAAGCGCCGCTTTAACCGGGTTGCCGGACACACGCTGCCAACGCCTGCAAAAAAAATAAAAAAATTAATAGGACACATTTAAAAAAATAATTTGGGGGTGTAGTACCTCATGTTTGCGTTTGAAACAACTCGGTCCGGACACACGCTGCCAACGTTGGCAAAAGAAAAGAAAATATAATATTTAAAAAAATTGAAAGAAAACATTTGAAATATAATTTGAGCGTGTGGTATACCCCATGTTTGCGTTTCGAGCACTCGGGCGGTCCGACATGACTGAGCCATACGGTGCCACTCGGTGCGGCGAGCGATGAGCTCTGCTTTCCAAACGGAGGCTCTGGATTAGGCGGTCTGCAAAGAGTGATCCCTGCTCTGTCTCTCTCGCACGACTGCACCAGCCGGGCCGAGAGTGCGACAGAGACAGAGCGACGAGCAGAGCCAGCCGGACTGGGAGCCTCGCCTCCGGGCAGAGAAGGACCTAGCAGACCGCAGTCCCATCGGACGCTGGAGCGGCGGCCGCGGTCACACACACTCGCCTCACTCCACATACAAGCACACACGTGTACCGCTATATTACTTTGTTACAACTTGAAAATCCACGAGAAAGTGGCCGGTTCAAAACTGTGCGTGTTGTTTGTCGGTGGCGTTGTTGCGATTGGCTGGCCGTGCTGGCCTGCTTAGCTCGCGCACCGCCTCGCCGGTCCCTGCTTCGCCTGCTTCGCCTGCTTCGCAGCCTTGCATCAAACCGGACGGACTGCAACAGCGGCGCAGCCGTGGCGCAGTGCAGCGGCGCGGCAACCTAACCTAGGGGCCGTGTCGCGCCGCACAGTGGGCCAGAAGACCGGCGGAGGCGGCCAAAACTCCAGACGCGTTTTGAGCTCCAGAGTCGCTAAATGGGACTCGAACCGAACGTGTGACCCCACCAATGGATTGCTCTCCGAACGAGGAGTCCATTGGTGGGGTCACACGTTCGGTTCGAGTCCCGTTTAGCGACTCTGGAGCTCGAAACGCGTCTGGAGTTTTGGCCGCCTCCACCGGCCTTCTGGCCCACTGTGCGGGCAAATGTCCGTGTTATTTGCCGTGTACTTGACGAGGCAGTCTTGGCCACTCCGTCTGCTCGCTGCCATGGCAACTGCAGTGATATGGATAATAGGGAAGCGCCATGCTCTGTTTGCCTCACCCACTTGTGTGTGTGTGTGTGTGTGTGTGTGTGCAAGCCCAATAACGGCTTGTTTGAACAGCGTAATCCTGTCGTTTCCTCATTGTGCCTTTCCGGCCAGGTCGGCCTGGAAAGATTATGGAGAGAAGAAAAAAAAAGCACCTGGCTGTGGTTATTGAGGTTCGTGCGGTGAATCGAATTGGCAAGCAAGCAGGAATTTCTTCACGATATGCCACCGCCCCGGCATCAGAAACGGGTGTGCTGCCCAGCCTTCCTCTGCACGTCTTCTGGCACGCAGGCCGCCATTTTGGCCCATTTTGGCGCGGTTTACACCCAATAACGAACGGCCTGTTTGGACGCTACACCCGGCAGCGCGGTGCGTGCTTCTCTGTCTGACTGTCCGTCTTTCTTTCGGCGCGGCGCCTCGCTGCCAGTTTGTGATTTTCTCTCCAAATGACGGTCTTTTGGTCCTGGCCAGTCCCGGCCAGTCCCGGCCGCTCGGACAGGGAGAACCCGCATCGAATGCCCTGCCACAAAAGTGTCAAGGAAATTCTGTTGGCAGCATTGTAAAGCTCTTCCTATTTAATTTTTAAACAAGAAAGCTAAAATAAATGCTACAGAAAAATTAAAAACAGTTTTGTTGGAAACGGCGTTTGAGGTTTAAACGACATCGGTTCGAACGCCTTGTTGTTTTTGTTTTGCTTCTTGTTTTTGGCTGGTCCCGGCGAGCTGCAGAGCGATTTGCGTTGGCGGGCCGTTCGGGGCTCCGTTCTCATGGCGAGGCGGCCGTTGACGCCAAAAGAGACCGTCCCG